AAATTTTAGTTTCATAATGACAATGTGAAAATGAAAACGCATTTGGAAAAAAATAATTATGCCGCACAGCTAATTGACGTCAACATATTTATGAAATCTAAGACCATGTAAATGCCGTCATATGGTAATTTATCGTTAATTTCAAACGTTTAAAATGTATTAACGTATACAGACAACCATACTACACTTTTTTCACTATAAAACCCCGCTGTAAAAAGAATTCGTGTAAGAGATAAACAACTCATGACAGTTTTAATTAAAGTGTTCTAAAATATGTCACATTAGCAGGCAGATGTGTCGAATTGATACATGTACATGTGTTGCTAATTAAACACAGAAAGAAGTCTTATAATTGTTTCAGACAAACTCTTCTTGTAGCCTGAAGTTATCGTTAAAATGTGTCATCCTATTGGTTCAAAAAACTTGTTAATTTCTTCCTTAACTGTATATCTGAGCAAATTTAGCATCAAGACAAGATATTTTGTCATCAATTTAAATCAGTCTCGCCGAGTACAAAACAACTAGGAAATACAAGTATATTTGTTTCAATATTTGAAATATTTGACGGATATACTCGTACAGATATGATTTATTATTTACTCATTCACGAGTAAGTTATATAACTCGATTTGGAGAAAGATGCATAACCTACCCCGATGTCGGCTTTGAGGTGTATGTGCTTCTTCGTGAAGTGCCATGCGGTAGTTTGTGACCAAAAAATCTGTGTGAGGTAAATCTATTAAGTGTTGTGTTTATCACTCTATAAGCAATAGAATTTGGTGCAAAAGCTCGAATTGATTAACTTCCCTTAAACCCAGTATCAACGTTTACGAGGGATGATCCAAATAACGTAGTCTTAGTAAACCACATATATTGAAATAAGTCGGAACGTATGTACTTTTTTCTATTATAAACGTATTTAGTAGAAAATAGATAGGTATAACTAGTGCTTCATCGCCAGTGCACGCACTTATATTTTTCATTAACATGATAGTATACGAAGACATTCGATCGATTCAAATATCTCCTCAACTTTCATGTCAGATGCTATCTTTAAAATGTGCTTCTCATTTATCATAATGGATGTCATGTAAAATATGTTCTTTTTATGATTAAAATTAGAGCACATTATATGGTCCCATTGTTCTTATTTCACTCGGACGCCTACTCATTTGCATTATTGTAATTTAAGAGTTGTCATTTCAGTGGTATCTCGTTTAAATGTTAGATGATTTCTTGCTTATCATGTTAAATATAATATTATTTGAATGTTCCCTATACCAAGATATTGGACAAAATACATATGAAAAACAAAATTTGGAGGAGACCTAATGTACTAAAAGTTATCATATTATCATATGTGTGGTTTAACTTGTCAGCGTGAGAACACTTGAATTTAAGCCATTATATCAAGACATTTGATTTTTGAGACATGATTTGGCATTATCATTATTTCGCCCACGTATTGGCTTGGGTTTATTGTTATTTCACTCTATAATAGCTTTGATTTATTGTGATTTCGCTCACTTTAACGGCAACAGAAATGATATTGTACTTAGGAAAAGCTACTTTAACCGCGACACTCCTCGCAATAATATTACCAAAAGTTAATGCTGTCAGAAAGCGGGAACGAGACTGAGAATTTTTCACACACAGCTTTAATAAAATGCCTGTAATCTTTAATCAAAAGTGATAACTTGAGTTTATTTGACATTAGGGGCTTCTTTCGTTATTCGAGCACCCCCTCTCCTCTCCCAATTAGCATGCAAACTCCAAATGTTTAATAATTATTTTGAATGCATTTAAGTCTCGGGATGCAGTGCAGAAATATTCTTTAACTGTAACATTTACTGGCATAATTCAAATGTTATGTTTAATGTCAGTTATGTCAAATATTTTAAACATTTTATATAAATCAAACTTCTATATCCTTCACTAGAAGAAATATTTCATTGTTTAACAAGATATGGTTGTTCATGGAATGATCTTAACCTATTTCATCGATGGTTGATGGTTTATTATAGGTACCTAAGAGAAGTCTGTTTGTATCTTTTATTATTTGTACATCTTTAAACCCTAAACACAACCATTCCTGTTTTCCCGACGACCTAATAAGCTCTCAACCCAGGGATCATGGATGGGTTCGAGCCCTACTAGGATCGTGACCATGTTTCCTCATATGACACAAGTACTGGTAAGCTCCGAATAGCAGACTCGAAAGTGATTAATATAAGTTGCAAGAACTTAATTCGCAATCAAGGTTAAACAAATGAGCCGCGCCATGACAAAACCAGCATAGTGCGTTTGCCACTATCATGGATCCAGACCAGCTTGCACATCCGCGCAGTCTGATCAGGATCCATGATGTTCGCTATCAGTTTCTCTACTTGTAATAGGGTTTGTAAGCGAACAACATGGATCTTGATCAGACTGCACAGATGCGCAGGCTGGTCTGGATCCATGCTGGTCGCAAACGCGTTATGTTGGTTTTGTCATTTGCGGCTCAAATTATGTTTAAACTGAACAACTACTAGTTCCACAACAACCAACTTTGTCAATCTAAGCGTACAGCTTTTAAGAAGTAAGTTTTTCAATACTGTACGTATGTAAAGTCTATTTAAGTCATTATAAATCCGACGTTTATATTATTACAATGGAATATATAACCTGTCAAAAATCATAACTTAAAATAAATAGTGAAAGAGATACAGATTCATGTATGTACATAGCTCTCAATGTACCTAACACAAACTTGATTAAGGACCATCTAAGGATGCTATACAGACAACATTTGATAAAAATTTCATCCATACAAGGGATTGTATACTTGTTATTATTTCAAACTCTAGAAATATCTTTAAGAGGCCAATTGCGTTTACATGTATTTCAGCAAATTAGAAGATAGAGGACCATCATTATAAACAACAGATTAAGTTTAGTGATAATCTTTTTATCCATGAAATAAAAAAATAAAATTTAATGCTATATTCAGCTTTATTTGCCAGTATAATGGTCAACCAACTGCTCAAAGTCAAAAGACACTTAAATAAAGTTCAGTGACGTTCCATTCATTGCTCATTAAAATGAAACAAGTTGTTGTTTTTAAAATGAGCCTACTAAATTTAGAAAATCTAATAAGGGATCGTCAAGTGATGCCACAATATTCAGTAATGATCCATTCACATCCCTCAAATCAACAGATCGCTGCTGTAGCTACTTAATATATTATATATCAAAATGACATTAATGCCGGCTCGCCACGGCGAGCCGGTATTACGTTAGGATTTTACTGAGAAACAACCTAAAACTCCGAATCCATCCAAAAATTTAATCGAAGCTTGGCTTCCAGCTTTCTACAAAATTTATCTATCCGGGCTAGGATCAAAAATTATTTAGCCAATCAAATTTAATCTTACATAGCGTCAAAAAACCTTCAATTTTCACGCCATTTTTAAAAAGCGGCAAGTATTATTTTGAGCGCAAAGATATACTGATGATTAAAATGTTTGTTTTCATGAATTCTTTTCAATAAATCATATTTACACTGACTTTTGATTTAGCGATCTCACCTGTTCCTCTGTAGTAAGTTTTCGTTTGGTTATTTAACATAAGTGTACATCTGGTTCTGTGCATTTTTTTCTTTTTCCTTTTATCCGGTCATTTTATCCTTTCCGGTATTTAGTGTATATATTTACTGACCGGGATCCGGGACGCCCGGACTGGCCGGGATCCGGGATCGTATAAGATATAGAGGAAAAACTAATAAACTATATATGTGTTGATTATTGTCGTAATGAAAGGCCATTAAACGTTAAGTTTTTTTTTATTGTATGTAATGAACACTAAATTAATTAAACTTAGGATATAAATATATTTAGAGCTATTTATTAACAAACTTAAAATGCGGAAATCACAATACTTATAATTATATGCCTAATTAATTGGAAAAATCAAAAACTACATTCTTGAATTGGTCAAATCTCGGGATCCCTTTATGTTTTAATGCGATCCCAGCTTTTCTGAAAACTATATTCTTGAACTGGCCAATTCCTGGGATCTCTTTATATTTTAATACGATCCCGGCTTTTCTGAAAACTATATTCTTGAACTGGTCAATTCCCGGGATCCCTATATGTTTTAATAGGATCCCGGCTTATCTGGAAAACATCTTAGACTGGTCAATTTCCGGGTTCCCTATATTTTTAATAGGATCCCGGCTTTTCTGGCTGAATTGATTGACAACTTGTGTTTACTTTAGGACTTGTGTCTGTCACTCATTCCAATACTAAATAACATATTACAACTTAACTTCGTATAAAGAGACATCTTTATGAATTCTACCTATCTAACATTTATTTGGTCATGGTCAACAGGCCATACAGTAAATGTGCATAGACATATCTGTTTACATGCATCTTCATATATACTCATATTCCTCTTTGTTAAACTGAGAGAACTGGCTTCCATCACTTTTATTTTGATGTTCGCTCAAGTCTCTTCAGCTAACAGAACTGTCATTTTTACATTTAAACACACCCCTGGAAAAAAATTACGAAGCGAGTCGCTACTAGCTTTTTTAAAAGCTAACCTTGTTTAGACTTTTTATTATAATTTATACAGAGATAATCAACAATCGTACGTAGCAGCAAGGCATAGCTCACAATCAGTATCACTTAATGTAATATCACATACATGACTAGTCAGTATGTTCGTGTAATTACTCAGTCACCTACAATGTAAGGGAGGTAACTAAAATAGTAATTCCTAAATAAATATGTAAGAGTTATGTGCCCTTGAACAATGATGTTAAAGCAACTATGGTACATTTTGTTTCCAAATATTCTGAAACTCATAAGCTCTGAATGGTTGAAGTAGGATCATATTTCAGTTATTTGCAAATACTTTTTAACAATGGCATAAGACCATGACTCAAAGTGACTTAAATTTTATAAGCAATATGGTAGTAACTTCCATCTTAGGGGATAAATAAACACTTAATATACAACTCAATACAAAAACATATAATTTTTAAGGCTTAAACATGTGTTATTATTCCGGTATAATAGATATACTTTAATATTGAACATATTTAACTTGGTCAGTATCTACCACATTTGAAGGCATTATCTCCTGCACAGATAAACTTGAGAAATGTGTTCTTAAATGCTTCAACCCTTTCTCTGTTATTTGTCTTTTACTTTTCTCCTCTTTCAATTCTTTCTCCAATAGTTTCACTTGTTCTTTTAGATCATGAATAGCTTTCCTGCACTGAGTTCTTATTTTATCCTCCGCTGCAAGTTTCTCTGCAAGCGCCTCCTTTCTTAAATTATCCAGCTTCATTTGAATACGGCCTCTTTCCATTCTCTCTTTATCTGTCATAACACGGTTATCATGCAGTTCTTTAACCATGTCAGATTGATCAGTTTTAATTTCTCTTATGACTTCTTCCATAGCACCTACTTTAGCTGTCAAATATTTCACTTCTTCGGTAAGGCTTTCCACATGAATATTTAGTCTTTTATTAGCTTTATGAGCTTCTCGAAGTTTCAGTCTTTGACTCTCCATTGTTTGTTTCTGCTGGGAGGTTAATTGTTCAAGCTCGTTATTTCGTTTCGTAGTCTCCCTATAACATACCATGGCATCTATACTTTGTTGTTTGAGTGATTTGTAAGCCTCGCGTAACACACTGATCTCATTGGTGTCCCATATACACGAGTCATTTACATCCACTGTTACCTGACCGGGACGTAACACACTTTCTGTAACTGCTGAAATGATCAAATATGTTACAGTTAGTTAATCAACACTTTAAGTAGTAGTTGTAGTGGTTAACATTGAACAAAATTTTAAATCAAATCGAGCCTGCAACATTTTTAATTTTGCCATGCTGGGCTTTCTTTATTGGTTCAGTTTTTCTCTATTTTAATCCTCTACTTCTTTTGAAATTTAGAAATAAGGACACTTGCATGTACATTGTATATATAATTATCTGGCTTCATTTCTTTATTTGGATTCACTAGCTTTTATTTCATTTTCCACAATGTCAATATTGAAACAAGTTATTTGGAAAATATCATACATAGGAAAATTAAAGCCTTAAAGGCCCATTATGCCACAGAAATGTTGTTTCTTTTTTTTTTTTTTTTTTTCTTTTTTTTTTTTAATTTTCTCAAAAGCCTTTTCTTAAGTGCCCTGTTATTTCAAAAAAGTTACTCATTGGCCAGATACCTGATCCATCTGTTTCTTCTGTTGCTTTTTGGCAATGTAGTAGAAAAATAATAACTTAGTATTGAGTATGGAAGTCAAAATACTACTTTGTTTAAACTTTGCTTCTTTTATGACCAAAAATTTCACATACAGCGCTACTTTCATTTTCATTAAGCTTTAAAACCATTATCTAAGCAGTATCATATTCATTATTATTGGCTTTTTTTTCAAAAGGAGTAAAAATTTATATGTTTCTGAGGCTTAAAGTGTCTTTAATCTGCAAGAACAAAAAGTGTTTAACCTTTGCCACTTACTAGAATACAGTCAGCTAAGTCAGTGTAGTTTGTATATGAGGCTTTTTTTTGGGGGGGGGGGGGGGGGTAACTTTTGTATACTGATATAGTAATAGCTTAAACTTTGAACTGTTCCAAATTCAGAACTGGGACAAAATCCATTGCACAAATTCCACTAGTTAATACATTTTTTAAATTTTATAACTCCAACCTGGCAATATTTCTGGCTGATCCTGTGTTTTTACTGCCTGTTTTAAAGCAGACTTAGTTCTCTCCTCTCTTTGTTGTTTCCTCATTTCTTCATCTAGGACAGTCATCATATGTACTTTTTCATACACCTATAAATAAAAATAATCAGATACAGTGGAACCTGTGTAATCTGAACCTGTGCAAACAAAAAAATCCAGATTATTAATTCATATTTATTGTAGAAGTGAGGTATATTATTGTGTATCAAGGTATTTTTGATAGAAAAAATATTTTGTTTCATAATTTTTCAATTTATATATGTCACATTTTAGAACTGCTCACTATTTAGGGGAGAAGATGTGTATGGAGCTGGATAGCTCAGTCAATAGAGCCATGGTATGGTATTCTGAGGGTCCTGGGTTCGAGTCCGAGGTTGCACATTTCCTCGCCCTGTGTCATTTAACGCTAAACAGTAATTGAACAGTTCTGAATTGTGACATAGTCATAAAATTAGCTTCAACATATGTCCAGATCACACAAAACTTCTAATACCAAATGAAGCATCTAGGAGGTTTCATAATTGTAATTTTACCGGAAAAAAAAGAAGACAATAATGCTCATTGCTGTCAGTATCTATGGCATAGTAATGAACCTTGTATAATAACCTAAATTCATGACTCAGAATGCATGAGTAAAGTTTCTAGTGAAAACCTTCAGTGGAAGATGAGGTCAGATATCTTAATAATTTACCTTTCGTACTGCTTCTGGATCATGTACAGAGATATGTTTCACTCTGGGTTTGTTTTTAGGGTCTTCTTCATGAGACACAAGATCTTCTATTGTTGCCCCAAATACTGGCTCAAACAAGTCACCAACCCAGTCATGCCATTCTGCTTGAGGCTTTTTATCTGTATCCATTATTGCTGGAAAATATAAGACAATATTTGTTTTTTGACTGAAATAAATACACCTATAAACACTTTTCATATGAACTAGGTAAATATCCGAGGTATATCGAGTGAAAAAATAAGAGTTGTTTCCCTTATCTTCGAGTAAAATTGGTATCTCATACGCTAAAACAATACAAATTAAGCCATTTTTAAACCGCTAGTTTGTTGTGATTAAATGTCCGATTTTAAAAATTAATACATCTATGGAAAGATTGGGATCTTAGCTTTGTCACAGTATATAATTTTACGTATCTTTTGACACCAAAGTATTTAAATTAACTGTTAAACCTACCATATGTCAGCCCATTTTACATACGATTTATATAGTGAGATACGCAACCGGTTATCTTTACTCGAAAACCTACTGATAAGAAAAGCCTGTCGTCTGCTACTTGGGGAAAGTGTTTATCGGTGTATTGTGGTAGTAATAGAATGCAAAATGAACTACATTTCGAGAAATGGACTTATGGCCTGTGAAATGAATTTGTTTTTATAAGTGATGCGTTTTTCGCCATTTTTATTAACTTACACTTTGCATATGACATAAAACTACAAAAAGTCCAACTTATTGTACTGTGTGACAAGATAATTGTGTCTGGGCAATCTGACCCAGAACCTAGCTTTCGCATGTAAATAAATTTTGACTATTTTCAAATATACGAGCATAGATAATGAAAAAAGTATTGCCAAATTGTTTAAATTGTAATTTTATGTAATAAATCACTTGTTTGTTATCAAAAATGATATTCATTAATACACTTAAACCACAAATTAAAATAAAAGACAAATGTGGATTTTGTAGGTGAAAAGTCCATTTCGCATTTTATTACTAAACTGTAAACTGTTATTGTCATAATTCAGCTGCTAAAAAGAGTTATGTTATTGACTTTCATCTCTTAATTTTCATTATTCAAGCAGTTTCCGTATGAAAGATGTGAAATTGTAGTTTGTATTTGCACAAATCCATCCCGTCCGAAATAAAGAATGAAATAAAATTATCCGAAAACTGTGACAGTATAAGTAAACAAAACATATTTATCATTTATATTAAACATTATAAGGCAATGAAAAAGAAGATCAAACCTGTTTTAACTCAAAGTGTATAGCTATTGATAAGTCGGCATTAAATTTTTAACAGTGTTTTGGTTTTTAATTTCAATGACAGGTTCAGACAAAACATCAAATTCGATTGAGATAAAGCAGGGGTCCCGGAATCCGGTATCGTGTCTACGGAGGCGGCCCACTGAATTTTCGTACTATACTGTATACATCACATCTAAGACTAAATTCTGGACACAACATATTCCGTACAGACATTTGGTGGCTATAACTTTCAACAACAATACTATCCAACTAAATTTAGCACAAAAAATAATTAGCCCTTGGAATTTTTCTGTAGCTTTTAATTTAACTATAAACACGGATTTATGTAATATAAATCCGTGCTATAAACAACTGGGGTGTATTCTGGTTAAAAGTAATATCAAAATTACAGTGGTGTATCTGTGAAAAATGTATGTCCGTAAATGGCTAACTGATCATTTCTGTCTATGAATAATATTGTTGAGTTAATAGATAGATATATATATATATTCCTTATACGCGTATGTATATAAAGTTAAAAATCTTCTAAAAAAAAGCCAGAGCTAGAGCTTAGATATTTAGCATGAAACATCTTGTAGTGGTGTCTACCAAGTTTAATTGTTCAAATAAATTGGCCCCGTTTTTACGAGTAACTGATAACTTACTCTACAGTTTAGTGGTGAGTATCCCCGCCTGTCACGCGGTAGACCGGGGTTCATTTCCCCGTCGGGGAGCCATTTGTAACCGGGGATAAATGATTGAAGACTTGCTTCTATTTCATCATTTTATTGTTGGACATACAAAAACGAGCCTACAAACAAAATACAAAGGAATAACAAATAATTGATTTACAAAATAATAAAAGTAAAAACAAAAGTAAAAACAAAACATAAATATCAATAATACTATACAGGCTTTAGCTTAGATATTTGCCATAGAAACCATTGGCTTCCAATAGCAACCAGTGACTTCCTTAGCAAATATTGACTTTCCATAGCAACCAGTGACTTCCCATAGTAACCAGTGACTCACATAGTAATCATTGACCTTCGATACCAACCATAGACTGCTTAAACACTAAATGACTTGTCATAGCAACCAGTGACTTTCCATAGCCACCATTGACTTTCATAGCAACTTTCCATAGCAACCAGTGACTTTCCTTATCACGTATTGACTTCCATAGCAACCAGTGACTATCCATAGCTACCATTGACTTCCAAAGTAATCAGTGACTTTCCATAGCAACCATATACTCCCATAGCAACCAGTGTCCATAGCAAAACTAACCCATAGTGACTCACATGGCAACCATTGACTTTTCAAAGCAACCAATGATTTTATAGCACCCATTGACTATTCATAAAAAATGACCTCTCCAGACAAACATCCTCTTCAAAACTATCTGCTCCAAAAACCAAAATCAAAGATGGCGGCTTTATATTGACAAAGAAGGGGAAAAAAGTATCTACAGTAATGACCTCCACTACTCATAGCAACCATTGTCTTTTCATATGATCCAAATACTTTCTGTTAGAACCATTCACTGTAACTTGTGTCAGTATCTCTATTTTGAATGTTTTCGCCATGTGACTAAAAAGTCATGTGAGTTGAAACTATTTGCCTAACTACCTACAGAGGCGACGGTGTGCAAGAGATTGAAATAAACAGCAGGTGTCAAGTGCCGTGTGGTAGCTGTAAAAAGTTGCCCGTACTTCACTTCAGTGTTGTTATATTTTTCTGGTCCTTCGGGATCATTGATGCCAGCACTATTAAGTGTTGAGAATTGAGTACCGCTCAAACCGGTGCTAGGGGGCGTGAGGGATGTTGCACGTATTCATTATCCCTCATGTACAGACTCAATCAAACCGAGTCTGCAATTCTCTTTTAATTTTGTTGTGATTAATGCTTCCGAGGGATCACTTTGTTTCCAGATTTTTAAACTTCACAACAGCAGGTGTCAAGTGCCGTGTGGCCGCTGTAAAAAGTTGTTGAGAATTGAGTACCGCTCAAACCGGTGACTGACGTCCAAAATTTGATGCTTTTAAAACAGATGCAGATGATAATGAAGAAATATACCCAGAAATAAATTGAAAAAAAGCATTGTAGCCCGAAAATCGTTTATTAATTTTGGGTCATTTTACAATTACATGTAGAATGATTATATGGACGAATTGAATGACCAGATTGTCTGAAATTTTGCACACAATTTATTAGTCTAGACTTACATCATACGGAGCATTAACCTCGAAAAATTATTTTCAGTCCACTCAAATAAAAAACCTCTGTGAGTCCCTTTAAATATGTATGACGTATCAGGCGATCTTGTGTCATCTAACCATATATCATCTTTATATTTGGAAATTCAGTTAAGTATCATAAACAAACTATTACGATACATTCAACAACCTATTGTTGATGTCTTCACTATAAATAAAAAAACAGCATTCTGTTTATTTAATTATGATTTATTAGATATTGCACAGAAAAAAAACGTTGGAAACCCGGAATAGCAAAAAATCTTTAAAAAATATGTATTCATACATCAAATCTTATAACAATTGTTTTACTACAATAAAAAAGTTGTACATGTATATTGTTCTTTAAATACACAAGTATATTTTCATTTCAAAGTAGATATAGAATAAGCTAGTGAACATGTTTAAAATTCATACATATATATAAATGTGCACATATTATATGTATTATAAATATGAAATACTTGTTTGGTAAATACTGAACTGTAAGAGATGATAAATAAAACATAATGTAATGATAATATTTACAATGTTGTTAATTGTTGTTTTTGTTGTTGTTGTTTTGTTGTTGTTGCTGCTACTACTGCTGTTGATGTATTTTTTTAGTCAAACCGGCATTATGAAGGTCACACGGTGACTTTCCAGATTAACTGGTGAACCGATCTTTCGAAATGACTATGCCATATGATGTGGATCTCGTGATATTGACCACGTTCTGTTGTGTTCGTATGTATCCTAAGAGCGGACATATAATTATCATGCCTGCTATTTTTGTTTATCATAGTTCTTTAAATGAATGAAAGAAAGAATGAATGAATGAATGAATGAATGAATGGATGGATGAATGAATGAATGAATGAATGAATGAATGAATGAATGAATGAATGAATGAATGAATGAATGAATGAATGAATGAATGAATGAATGAATGAATGAATGAATGAATGAATGAATGAATGAATATGGATATCATACGTATCTATGTTTATAAACAATGTGTATATATAACACATGGACTGAAATAAATTCCAGCTTAATGCTACCAGCAGAATTAATGATATTTATATACGATAAAGTCTATTCAGCAAAGCATCATTGTACTTCGCTGACCTGCATATGATCTTCTCCACATTGAGGATTTTCTGTCAATTTCTTTGTTCCCATCTTGTACTTTTCTGTATTCAGTTTCGTCGAACTCTAGATGGCAACCCCATGAGCACATTTGGCAAATACGAGTTCTTTTGAAAGCATGCATATAGTCGTTGGATGGTGTTTTCTGTAGAAAACCGGCGGCATTGACAAAAGACGTGTCTGCAAAGGGAATGTGTGTCCTTTTTGCTTTGGGTCCAATTGTGGGTCCAATTGTAGGTAGGATAAATTCCGTTTTTATTTCACGATAATCGTACTTTCTTTTCATCATGGGAACACACAATACATAAAGAAGCGAAATCGAAAATGCAAGTGCTATATTTTCCGACATTTCATTGCCCTCTGATTTTATGTTTATAGTACCTTTATTAAAATTAATTTCAGCTGACTCTATGTCACAAGTATAATCATTTCCTATCTTTCTTTTCACTTGGAAAGTCGTTGTTTTGCAAGTAGAAAACTTGAAGAACCTAAGGAACAGTGCTCCATGATTGTCGTCGCAAATGGCAATTTCTGAAATACATGCTTCACATATAAAACATAATATGTATGCAACAATGGGAACAATAATGACAGATGTCAAATTGCGACATATTCACTGTATTCCGAGGAGTTAGTTTTCTACTGTCATGATCGTGTTTAGTGTTTATAAAAAATTAAAAAGAATTTACAAAAGCAGATGTAAATATGAACGAAAGTCTAACAGTAATGCTTTCCTCCAAAAAAATTCTAACATCGGCCAATATTGTAGCAAATCGGTTATTTCCGGAACGTTACTTTTTTCAAAAATCTTGGGCATTTGATTATTAACAATCCTTAATCGTTTTGTACTAAATTTTGGTTGTGAACGGTAAAAATCATTGTATACATTAGATTGTGGAAATGACCGATTTATTACGATATTGGTCGAAGTAAGAAACTTTTTGGCGGGAAAGCATTGAGAGTTCTGACGTCTTTCAGCCGTTAATAAAGTTTATTAATGTTATATCATTTATCATTTATATATCTCATTATTAATATATATACATGTAAATGACAGTTCTTAAGAAGTATCTACACTCTAAGACGCCATAAGTAATCACAAGATGAAATTGTTAACAAATGCTACGCAAGAGCTTCGGTTTTAAATTGAATAGAAATACCTTGTTGATCCCCGCCCCATCGTCCTGCTACAATACCCAGTCGCCACCGTTGTTCTTCAGAAGTATCGCCCTTTCTCCTTGCAATGGGTTCAGTGTGATTTCATCTTTGTCCACCTACAAAATATTGATTTTTTTTTTCATTTTATATATATTAAAGTATATAAAACTCATGCAAAATGCAATCAAAATTACGTACTCATATTTTCTTTTACTATATATACCTTTTTTGTAAAATTAGTTAATAATATCTGAACAAAACAGAAGTAATTATTTTGTATAAATAAGGTATACATCTGTCTACAAATGTGTTGTTGCGAAAGGCGTCAATACAAATTCGTGACGTAAATATACTTTATAACAAATGTTAGATTAAGAAATATATCATGATTTATTCATTGTTTTAATCGAAAACGACCGTATAAATTTATATATGAAAAACTCTGTCACGATCTAATCCCAGACATAAATTACTGTACTTACTTGCGAAGGAAGTGGTAGGTGATCCGAACCGATAATATGAGCAATGGCTGACATCTTGTTTTGATAAAACACTTGAATTACTGACATCATCAAGGGTCGACTATGTATACTCCTGACATGAAATACATCATTCCCGAGATGGTTTCTCAATCTGTTAATGTAATGCAATGCTTGTAAAACAGAGGGGTAAAGCTGTTACTGGATATCAGTACACGTCATATATTTGTTTGGAGAACAGTTAGTGGTGTGGATATGTTTACTTCTTTTTACGCCGATTTTTACACAAGTTTGATCATTTTATAGAGGTCAGTTCTCCTGCATAACTTAATCAGTAATTACTTATTTCTCCGCATATGACCGATTACCCAAAGATCAATTGTCCTTGCCCAATGATTGATCCAGAAACTCCTGGATTACTTATCTGATACTCCCCTTAGTACGCGGATTTACACAATTACGTTACGTTGTTTTCTTATTCTTATGTTTCGGAGAGGACTAATATAAATGTGTTTGTTATCGGATACAAATGAGTTTAATTGTATAAAAAAAAGAACGAAAAAAAAGTTTTCGCACAAAATATGTTCAAAAAAGAAAATGTTCACTGTTCAAAAAAGAAAATGTTCACTATGAATTCTTTTTTCATAATCATTCAACCAATAAGAGAAAGCGAAGAATAAACTGGCCAATACAAGCATTTTTAAGGGTAAAAACTTTCCTTCTTAATTTCTGCAAAATGGCACAAGAAAACAGTAGTATATTCAAAATCACAATAAATTGGTCAGACAAATGGTGATCATCTGTCAATTCTCGGGAATAATGCAATACATATTCTATTTACCTGTGTGACGCAACCTCGCAATAATTATCACTCCCACGAGGATATTGCTGCAGCCCAATAGGTCCTAAAAACTGCTTGTGGTGTCGAGGAATACTTGATGGTCTGTATTTACCCGGTTCAAGGGTCAACATAGCTTGATCGAACCCTAGCTGCTTTATAGATATGGTCAAATCTAGTCGAATGTTGTGACCTAACGAAACGGGAACGTCAATGTGCCTATCATTGCCTAGGTTTCTAGAATTTTCTAACCAAGGTAAGAGGTTCACAACGTTTGATGCCATGACTGTTTTCAAACCAAGACCAACTGGTGCTTCTAGCATTATCAACATTTTGCAATCAGTCGATGTTTCGAAGACATATTGGCCGACATTTTTCCATTTCATTGTTGTATTTTGTAGTCTTGATATAGTTTGATATTCCAAAGAAAACACGTGTTCAGCGCGCGTTTTGTCAGCTAAACTCCACAACGATAAGGTTACCGCCCTTCTGATGCGAGGCATGGAGATAGTTACATTGTCAAAAACTAATTTCGTGCGCTGCATGAATGACTGACAGTATTCTGTTTTTTCAGTTTTGTATAGAAGTCCGGCCGGTTGACTACCACGATACATAGCTCCAAAGATAGGCATTGTCTCATTGTAAAGGCTCAACCATGTATCACGTGACTGCTTGTCAGCATTTAATCTGTCTTCCTCAGTTCTGTGGTCAATTGATGCACCATGGTTTAAAAAGTAACCAACGATCCTCGTCACATCTTCTTTGTATATCACTGGATTAAGCTGATGTGCATGCCAAAACAAATCTATGTCATAACTTGGTTCTAGAAAAGCATTTGGTAATTTTGCTTTCGCGTATAAGAATTGTTTGTATCTTAGATGACTAGTGTTAAGGTATTTCCTGTTTTTGTAATGTGGCAATGAAACTTGATAATAGAGGTCCATTTGCCTTTTAGAGGCTGCTAGAATATCATATGTAATTTTAGAGTGATATGTATCTATAGCAACCGTGTCAAACGGTTCTCTGTAGTCAATTGTGAAAGGTTCCTGGTACTTTCCAATTTTTTCCAGCCAGTATCTCTGCGACTTCCTTTGCTCCTTATAGAACCGTCTCGCTCCTAACATTGTATGCTTGACTGTTGAACCAACTATTTCTCTGCAATCTCTTTCGTATGCGTTTGGGTTTAACATATGACAATGCCACGCCCATTCCACATCAAGGGGCGGAGCTAAGAATTCGTTTGGGTACTCTGCTGCAAGGGGAAGCCAGTATTTTTCATATCTATATACTGCTCGTTTCAATGTCGATGACTTATTCAATTCTGGTATATCATTTACAGTTTTAAGAAACTCTATAACGTGAATAGCCTGTTCATTTAGGTTGGTCCCAAATGTTATTTCACTTGCGGCCCGTATATTTTGCATTGTGGTAACCTTAAAATAATGTAAATTTTGTATATATACGAAAAGTAGAAATGATTTATAATATTCTAAATTCTTGAATATGTGCATAGCATTTAATATACACCTGGAAATAAGTTAAGCACATCCCAGAAATTTAAAATTAGTTGTGATTGAAAGAACTGTCGTGAGATGACGACTTAATGTAATTTGATAAGTAGCTATACCACTTGAGTTTACTTTATTCTTAACCAAATTATTGAAGCATAAGTAAATGTGTTGTTTTTACCAAAAAATATAAGTGTTTATAAGCATGGTGTTGGAGCGTTTACAAAACATTTACTGGTGGATATTTTTGTTAAATGTTGACGATTACGTAACCTTAAATGACATTATGTAGCCAAATTTTTAATAACGTGTATAATCGTCACGTGCCTAGATGAAAGCCTCAACCCTTCTCCTCATACAACCAGCGAGGCGTCTAATGCAATTTTGAGCTACATTTTGCCATTCTTGGTGGAGAGCTTGTCCCAGTTGTTGCAGGTTGACTACAGGTGGTTTGTACCATTGCCCAAAATAAATTTTTAAAATTTCAGTTGTGGTCATGTCAAAATTGGGGCAAAATGCCGACTGTGCTAAACTTATTTCCAGGTGTGTATATATATAGCGACACATCTTTACAAATTAACCTACAAAATTGAAGTTTAAACTTACATAAACAGATAGTCTTTTGACTGTTTAATAGAAATCTTAAAATAAACAAATGATGAAAAAGAAATACTCAAATTTCAAATTTGTGACAATGTGTTAAACCAGTATAAATCTTATCATCGTGAAATGGATTTTTGTCGAATGTCAGGTCGGTGAAATATAATTTACTATCATGACTGTTGATTTTCTGTACAAGCTACTTACACATATATTTTCTTATCATCTGCTTATGTAAAGTATAATCGGCAATATTGCGCAGGTATTCTATTCTTATTGTTAAGGTTTTTCCGCTCGAGTTAACTTATGCAAACTTTAACTACCAAAACACTGCGGTTAGATTTTATTTGAAAAAAAAATCTAAACTAAACGTGAGAATTTTTCGCTTAATTAAAAATAGTACAAATATAACGTCACGTTCGTGACGTCACGATTTGAACAATACGAAAAAATGATGGATTTAGCTCAATACAGGATTGGAGCAGTACCTCTAGACGCTTGCAGAAATCATGATCACAAAATAGACAAATATCGTTTTTTTCGCCGATTTTTACATTTTTCCTTGATTATCGTACTTGATTCGGTGTGAAAAGATGAATTAGACCTGTTAAAGTTCATTCCGTTGGGTAAAAAGACAAGATTTTAGCATTTTATCATTCAAGCGCCTTGTCCGGTATATACCGGAATACGGTATTTAGTGTGGTGCTCCAATTCTTTTTTTAGTCACAGCCAAAAATGATACGCACTACGTATTATTTAGTAAATTATATACGTAATTCCTCTAGACACCTTATACGTTTAAAATAAAGATAGTTTTCAAATTTACTGCTTAAGATATCCATTTATGATTGCCTAGACGACCCTTTGGTAACACGTGTAAATACATGTACATGTATCTTAAATGAGCGGCAGCCGCGTCATGACAAAACCAACATAGTGGGTTTGCGACCAGCATGGATCCAGACCAGCCTGCGCCTCCGCGCAGTCTGATCAGGATCCCTGCTGTTCGCTATCAGTTTCTCTACTTGTTAAAGGGTTTGTAAGCGAACAGCATGGATCCTGATATTACAGATATCCTGATATGGATATTACATTATATTATATTATATTTTATTTTATTTTATTTTATTTTATTTATTTATGTTACATCGCATTTCTTACTAAGATATATTTCATTTTCACGTGAGAAAAAAAATGAAAAAAAAAAAAAAATGAAAATTTACATGCTTACCTGTTCTTTCCCCAAATGTATGAATTATAATAGATATTCCAATCCGTCATTCGATTTATACCTCGAATGTTGACTGGGACGTATTTTTAACATCAATTTCCTAGAAGAATGTGCAGAACCAATCAAATGAGTCTAGTCATGAATAGCTTATTATGTAATCATGTTTTTCCTAATGTTCTGACGATAGCAGCACAAATAGCCGAAAGTGTACATGTACACTGATAAACGCACATGATGATGTGTTTTATTCATTATAAAATTGGTTACGTGTAAATAGTAATGATTTCATATATCGAACTTATTTGTTACATTATATTCATATTTGAACATTTTTTAACCCCTCCTACTTGCTGGAAAAGAAAGTGATAAGCCTGTGCCACCAGTAAGGTCAGGCCAATTCACACAATCTGCACAGACACAACACCATTGGTTGTTTAAATTTCAAACAGTTCATGGATGAATCCTTCACATGAATCCGGCAGGTTTAAGTGTATTAAGCTATATATCTTCTGTTTGTTTTTTTTTCTATTTGCTCTATTCATTTTGATAATATTAATATTAATAATAATAATAATAATAATTATAATAATGATTATAATTATAATATTATCATAATTATCATTATTATTATTTTCATTTTTATTATTATTATTATTATTATTATTATTATTATTATTATTATTATTATTATTATTATTATTATGATGTCTTTCTCACAAAGAATTATTCAAAATACCTGTTTAAAAAATATGTTGGATTTTTTATTTTTAGAGCCAATCATACATGTAAGAAACCATTGCCTAGCAATAGAACCTACTTAAATAACTGCATAATATTTTGTTCTTGAACATTTTATTCTGTCTGTGTAAAACATTCATGCGCGCTAAATATTCTATGTTACAGATCTTAGGGCTATTGAAAACGGAAACAAGAAAGCTTTAACCGTTTACAATTTTTATAGAAAATGTTTCATAAGATATAGCTTTCAAGATAAAACAAATACACTTATAAAATTAATTTCAGCTTATTTAAGGACATTTTTTTGGTTGAACTTAATTATACTAAATTATATTAGAACGTTAATAACCGAGCACGTTTTAATGTATGGACTGGCACAGAGGGGCCATAAGAAACGTTTTATTTATCACGTGAATACGTGATAACTACCACTTGGGCACGTGTTTAATATTACTTCCGCTAGCGTTAACTTAATATACTCACACAATGCTTTTAATATTATCTTTAGTTTCTATATATGTTCTGTACATTATTAGGATCTGATATGATTGTATTTTATTAAGCCGATTGATTTATTGGCGTGTTTTTGTGAATGTATGTGGAGAGTCTCATAAAACACGGCCTTGGGAATTAATTACTTGGGAAATATCTGAAATGAAAACAAATCCCTGCGTTTTGCAGGATGCAGGCTCTATTTATACGATTCATAGGAATGGTGTTGTCTGATGTGTTTGGGAGACAAAATGCAGTGCTTGACCAATGGTCAGAGTCAAAATATATTGTGTGTAGCAGGTATAGTGTAAATGGTGGGAGGAAAAGTCATGAATGAACAGAGTACATGTTTGTTTGATAGGCTGCCAATATATTAGTATAGGAATATTTTACTTTATCATTAAATAGCCCTGATAATTTAATAAAAAAAACTCTGTAAATGTATGACTGCATGTTAAGTGGATTAAACATTTTATTGAAAATGGGGCGTCCGTAGCTGTGTGTTTAAGTTCGTTGACTTCAAACCACTTGCCCCTTACCGCTGTGGGTTCAAATCCTGCCAGGGACTTTGGACTCTTTCATGTAAAGAAGATCATTCAGCTTGCTTACGAAACACGGGTGGGTGAACTCATTTTCCCTTCGTGCATGAAATAATGCACCTGAGATATTCCTCCATCAGTAAAGCTGGAAAGTCTCCATACTCAGGATATGACCTATTCTCTGTCGGTACTACGCCAAACAAAAAAAAAGAGACATTAAGTTCCTTTTGTTTCTGTTCTATTGATACTAATTAAACATTACAAGTTAAGAATTACATTAAGATGTCGAATTGTAAATTAATAAAAATATTTTTAATCATTATTCAGAACGTTTAAATTCTTGCCAATTATGAGACAACCTTGTTATCGAAAGTCACCAGAATTGTTAATACCGTGTATTAATTAATGAATTAATTAATTTAATATTTATTTATTTATTTATTTATTTATTTAACGCAATGTAAGGTCGGTGGGCTCGGCTAGGTTCCATGCAATGTAACCAGATAATCAGTCTAAATACTTTGTAACCAGAACTTTGGTTTTAAATCCTTTGAATTATAATGAAATGGTTTAAAAATAGAGGTAAACCTCCGTGTCGCTGTTCGAAATGTTTCGATTTTCTGTGATAGTCGAATCGGTGACTTGTCATATGATAATCTTTATATCGGTCACGTGATGATTAATTAGATCAATATATTACCTTCATTTTGATTGGTCTATCATGACTCTGACGTAATCGAAACACGACACAATATAGATAAGTATACATACTTCATTTGTACGAGGAAGTTACATTCAATTTATAATTATTGAGAGTATTTGTACAAGTGTTCTTCTTTTTCTTCCTTTTTTAAGTTTTATAATGCCCCTTTGCTGATAATATCAATGTTAGATATAGATCTAATTGTATATTTTTGAAATGACAAGATTGATTACGTGAGCTAAACATAGTAAAATATACTCAAACATGTATATAGTCAAAGCATATTGCAAACAAGCCTCTCCTTAATCCTAACAAGGCTAAATATAGGAAATGGCCAATATGGACATTACTTGGGTGTTTCCCTACGCTCCCTTCGCAGCTCACGTTATTTCAGAAAAGTGAGATATAGTGAAACATTAGACCAATAACTTGTGTGAAAAGGCTCACGCCGTTTTTTGTTGTTTTTTTTTTTGTTTTGTTTTTTTTGGGGGGGGGGAGGGGGCGTCACGTCAGAATAATTAAATTACGTGTATAAATATGTAACACACCAGAAAGTGAAAATATATATCAACCATTTATGTGCATATATATAACTAACCTGTATGTGAAAATATATAGCAACCATTTTTGTTAATATATATAACAGACCTATATATGAAATTCTATAGCAATT